CCAGCTTTAGCCAGCGTACATGGGATAACACCTTCCTCACAGCCCCCGTCTAGACCCAACTATAGCCAATTTTCCTTATTTTGCTGTGTGCCACTAAATGACCCAGAATTACAATTAATCACACATAATTGTTTCAATATGCGGAATTCTGCACAGGGATAAACTGAATCCATAAAAAACAGGAACAGGAAGTGTCAAATAGGAACAAGAAAACAGCACATATATAAGTGAATACATACATACATGTATAAACTAAAGAAGGAGGTGTACATGGTATAACACCTTCCTCACAGCCCCAATGTAGACTCAACTATAGCCAAGCGTACATGGTATAACACCTTCTTCACAGCCCCCGTGTAGACCCAACTATAGCCAAGCGTACATGGGATAACACCTTCTTCACAGCCCCCGTGTAGACCCAACTATAGCCAAGCGTACATGGTATAACACCTTCTTCACAGCCCCTGTGTAGACCCAACTATAGCCAAGTGTTCATAGGAAAACACCTTCCTCACAGCCCCCATGTAGACTCAACTATAGCCAACCGTACATTGTATAACACCTTCTTCACAGCCCTTGTGTAGACCCAGCCATCGCCAAGCGTACATGAAATAACACCTTCCTCACAGCCCCCATGTAGACCCAACTATAGCCAAGCGTACATTGTATAACACCTTCTTCACAGCCCTTGTGTAGACCCAGCCATCGCCAAGCTTACATGGAAGGTGTTATCCCATGTACGCTGGCTATAGCTGGGTCTACACAGAGGCTGTGAAGGAGGTGTTATATCATGTACGCTTGGCTATAGTTGAGTCTACATTGGGGCTGTGAGGAAGGTGTTATACCATGTACAATGACTATAGTTGGGTCTACATGGGGGCTGTGAGGAAGGTGTTATACCATGTAGACTGGCAATAGTTGGGTCTACACAGGGGCTGTGAGGAAGGTGTTATCCCATGTAAGCTTGGCTATAGTTGGGTCTACACGGGGACTGTGAAGAAGGTGTTATACCATGTACGCTGATAATAGTTGGGTCTACACGGGGGTTGTGAAGAAGATGTTATACCATGTACGCTTGGCGATGGCTGGGTCTACACAAGGGCTGTGAAGAAGGTGTTATACAATGTACGCTTGGCTATAGTTGGGTCTACACGGGGACTGTAAGGAAGGTGTTATACCATGTACGCTGGCTATAGTTGGGTCTACATGGGGGCTGTGAGGAAGGTGTTATCCCATGTACGCTGGCTATAGCTGGGTCTACACAGGGGCTGTGAAGAAGGTGTTATCCCATGTACACTGGCTATAGTTGGGTCTACACAAGGGCTGTGAGGAAGGTGTTATCCCATGTACGCTGGCTATAGTTGGGTCTACACGGGGGCTGTGAGGAAGGTGTTGTACAATGTATGATGGCTATAGTTGGGTCTACACGGGGACTGTGAAGAAGGTGTAATCCCATGTACAGTGGCTATAGTTGGGTCTACACAAGGGCTGTGAGGAAGGTGTTATACAATGTATGCTGGCTATAGTTGGGTCTACACGGGGGCTGTGAGGAAGGTGTTATCCCATGTACGCTGGCTATAGTTAGGTCTACACGGGGGCTGTGAGGAAGGTGTTATCGCATGTACGCTGGCTATAGTTGGGTCTACACGGGGGCTGTGAGGAAGGTGTTATCCCATACACTGGCTATAGTTAGGTCTACATGGGGGCTGTGAGGAAGGTGTTATCCCATGTATGCTGGCTATAGTTAGGTCTACATGGGGGCTGTAAGGAAGGTGTTATCCCATACACTGGCTATAGTTGAGTCTACACGGGGGCTGTGAGGAAGGTGTTATCCCATGTACGCTGGCTATAGTTGGGTCTACACGGGGGCTGTGAGGAAGGTGTTATCCCATGTACGCTGGCTATAGTTGGGTCTACACGGGGGCTGTGAGGAAGGTGTTATCCCATACACTGGCTATAGTTAGGTCTACATGGGGGCTGTGAGGAAGGTGTTATCCCATGTATGCTGGCTATAGTTAGGTCTACACGGGGGCTGTGAGGAAGGTGTTATCCCATGTACGCTGGCTATAGTTGGGTCTACATGGGGGCTGTGAGGAAGGTGTTATCCCATGTACGCTGGATATAGTTGGGCCTACACGGGGGCTGTGAGGAAGGTGTTTATCCCATGTACACTGGCTATAGTTGGGTCTACATGGGGGCTGTGGGGAAGGTGTTGTACCATGTATGCTGGCTATAGTTGGGTCTACACAGGGACTGTGAGGAAGGTGTTATCCCATGTACACTTGCTATAGTTGGGTCTACACAGGGGCTGTGAGGAAGGTGTTGTACCATGTATGCTGGCTATAGTTGGGTCTACACAAGGGCTGTGAGGAAGGTGTTATCCTATGAACACTTGGCTATAGTTGGGTCTACATGGGGGCTGTGAGGAAGGTGTTATACCATGTACGCTGGGCTATAGTTGGGTCTACACTGGGGCTGTGGGGAAAGTGTTATCCCATACACTGGCTATAGTTGGGTCTACATGGGGGCTGTGAGGAAGGTGTTATACCATGTACACTTGGCTATAGTTGGGTCTAGACGGGGGCTGTGAGGAAGGTGTTATACCATGTATGCTGGCTATAGTTGGGTCTACATGGGGGCTGTTAGGAAGGTGTTATACCATGTACGCTTGGCTATAGTTGGGTCTACACAGGGGCTGTGAGGAAGGTGTTATACCATGTACGCTTGGCTATAGTTGGGTCTACATGGGGGCTGTGAGGAAGGTGTTATCCAATGTACACTTGGCTATAGTTGAGTCTACATTGGGGCTGTGAGGAAGGTGTTATACCATGTACGCTTGGCGATGGCTGGGTCTACACAAGGGCTGTGAATAAGGTGTTATACAATGTATGCTTGGCTATTGTTGGGTCTACACGGGGACTGTTAGGAAGGTGTTATACCATGTAGACTGGCAATAGTTGGGTCTACACGGGCTGTGAGGAAGGTGTTATCCCATGTAAGCTTGGCTATAGTTGGGTCTACATGGGGGCTGTGAGGAAGGTGTTATCCTATGAACACTTGGCTATAGTTGGGTCTACATGGGGGCTGTGAGGAAGGTGTTATACCATGTACACTTGGCTATAGTTGGGTCTAGACGGGGGCTGTGAGGAAGGTGTTATACCATGTATGCTGGCTATAGTTTGGTCTACACAGGGGCTGTGGAGAAGGTGTTTTGCCATGTATGCTTGGCTATAGTTGGGTCTACACGGGGGCTGTGAGGAAGGTGTTATCCCATGTACGCTGGCTATAGCTGGGTCTACACAGAGGCTGTGAAGGAGGTGTTATATCATGTACGCTTGGCTGTAGTTGAGTCTACATTGGGGCTGTGAGGAAGGTGTTATACCATGTACACCTCCTTCTTTAGTTTATACATGTATGTATGTATTCACTTATATATGTGCTGTTTTCTTGTTCCTATTTGACACTTCCTGTTCCTGTTTTTTATGGATTCAGTTTATCCCTGTGCAGAATTCCGCATATTGAAACAATTATGTGTGATTAATTGTAATTCTGGGTCATTTAGTGGAACACAGCAAAATAAGGAAAATCTTGCACAATAAATTTTCTTATGCAAAACATATGATGATACTGGTAGCGAAGTGATAAGTTATAACATTGTGGGCAGCCGTGGCCATACATCGAATGGGGTATGTTGAGGTGGAGACAACTACTTGGGTGCAGCGAGGACCACTAATGTACATCACACATTAATTTCAAATTAATACAAGATTTTTCAGCTGTCTTATTTGATACCTGTCTGATTGTAATAACCAACACAATATGTGTTAAATGTGTTTGAATGAACAAGTTCAAGGATTACACTTATCACATGTTCCACATGGAAATATTTATAGTTAATAGTTTACTTCAATTTTAACCGTATTGAAATTAAAATATATATGTCTAATGCAAATATGTCTATGTTTATCAGCTTGGTGGGAACAATGCACTTCATGCTGTTATCAACATTAACTGTGTGGCCACACTAATTTGGATGTCCCTCCATGTGTGTTTACTTACATACATCCACTTTGATAAAACCATTGTCACAGTGGTATTTATCAAACTACTACATGCAAGAACAAATACATGTACCGGTAGATTTGCACAAGACAAGAGACACAATGCAAGTTGATCATAAATATAATATTCACGTCAAAAAGAATAATTACGGACAGCATTATTATGGCAGAAATACTTTTCAAATTGTGGTTTATTTATCAAACATTGCCTACAATCAGTTCACTGTGTAGCATCACCTACAGAGTATATAGCTGTGGCCGCCACACATTGATGGCGTGATAGTCCCACAAAGGTCCTAATTAGTGCCAGAAAACAGTAAAATAGTTTTCACAGAAATCTGCAGATATTTGTGGATTATTCATGAATTATTCACAAATACTCCATGGATTGTTTGCAATTATTCTGCAGTACATAACAAAATTTTGCTATAAGTCTATATCTTCTTCTTAGCTCATGGAAATATTTTTGAGACATTGATCAGTCATGTCAAGGGTTTAGTTTCGAGAATGATACTTTTGTTAACTTTATGGAAAAAAGTAACATGGTCAATGCCTTTGAATTGTTTTCTTTATGTTTTCAAGCCACTGTGTGATGTAACGTCAAATACTATTGTGTTGAACTGTGAAGTGTCAAACTTGTGGTTGTCTCAAAGTAACAGTTTAGTCCCTGCATATTTGTTCTATATTCATCATTTTCAGTTGTGTCGAACCTCGGATAACTTGAAGTAGGTCCCTTCCTTCGACACAACAGTGTCTGACTGTATATGCATTTGATCTAAGTGGTTTTATTCATAAAAAATGGAAATTAGTCAAGATTATCAAGTTATTGTAAGTCATTATTCATGACAATAATGAAAATCATAGAGATGAACTATATAGCTAAATGCAAAATCTATACAGTTTCAATAATCTTTTATATCTTGGTTGTTCTTTTTGCAGAGATGTGTCTGTAGATGTGCCAGACAAATACGGCTTCAGTGCACTGATGCAGGCTTCCCAGAAAGGTTTGATAGAGTAAGTAGAGTGTGAAGATATGTACCAACTGCCTATATAACAATTGCTGATGAGCCAATTTTGCAAAAGCTGTATTCCAAACATGGCTCCTTTGTCTTTAACTATGTAGTTGTAGTGTCAGAGACCACTTGGCAATGACAGAACTAAGACTCCTGTGAATGCATAAGATTATATATAATGCTTTAATACTGATCTTTAAATTAACTGGTAAGATTTTCTAGCACTGCTTCATGAGTAAACCCAGTAAATGATGTAAACAAATGTACTTCTGACTGTTATGCCTGTCTAAAACATATTCAAAAGGATCCATAACAAGCTAGAGAGTAGGCGTGAAATGTTTAGAATAGTTTTTGAAATGCCATCATTTCACAGAATGTCATCATGGGTTTTCAGAAGCTGTAATAATAGGGCATCAAATTGTACCACACGAGAACAGGTGGTTATGCTGGCTTGGGTCCCCACTTGGATAGGTGACCCCTGCTGACCCAGTATAACCTCTTTTACATAATAGCCAATATTTCTGTATACTATAAAATCTTATCGTGACTTTTCTCTTCTCTGCCGACCAATCCCAATGAAGACAATATTCCTGCCAAAACGTCCTCTGGGCATGCACGAGGCGGGAAAAACATCACTTCTTCTCTGGGTGTGCTAAAGTGGACAGGAAAATTGACCCAGCAAATTTAGCTACACAATTTGTTGGTCTTCTCACTGTAGTATTCTTAAAAAAAAATCACAGATTAGTCGATACTAACTACTACATATTTGTTATATTATTGTACGTTGTGAAGCATTTTTCATGTAAGTAGAGTGTTAATGAACATCTTGGGAATGGATTCCCCCCGACCATGCCTGGACTGGCCAACAGATCTCATGGATCTTCATCTATCATCTGGGGCGGTCGGGTAGCCTAATGGTTAAAGCGTTCGCTTGTCACGCCGAAGACCCGGGTTTGATTCCTGACATTGGTACAATGTGTGAAGCCCATTTCTGGTGTCCCCGCCGTGATATTGCTGGAATATTGCTAAAAGCGGCATAAAGCGGCATAAAGCGGCATACAGCCAAACTCACTCACTCATCTATCATCTATGTAGAGGGGTATTGTGTGCAGTGGATTCTAGATGTGAGCATTGTAAATCAATATCAGATGTGCAATAAAAAGGATTAATGTTGGCGTGGAATTCACAGTCGAAGGATTCATCTAAAAAGACCTAAAAAGAAATCTACAAGATCATCATCATCATCTAATAAGGATAAGCCATCTAAGGTTTCACTTGACAATGAGAGTGCTCAGGAGCAACTTCTCACCACATCCCACCTGGGCAAGACTCACCACATCCCACCTGGGCAAGAATCACCTCATCCCACCTGGGCAAGACTCACCACATCTCACCTGGGCAAGACTCACCACATCTCACCTGGGCAAGACTCACCACATCTCACCCGGGCAAAACTCACCACATCCCACCAGGGCAAGACTCACCACATCCCACCTGGGCAACAAGAAAGTGAAACATGGCGATAACATCAAGCATTCATCCCCTGCTCACTTGCCCATGGAAAAGGAAACGGTGTAAGATCCTGGCGTGGAAGACGTTGCTAAGCACCAGGACTCAATGGATAAGGGGGACGAAGGTTTGACTTGCCAAAAGGCAAGCTACTGGCCCGGCAAACCTGACTCCACTTGTTCCTTTCAGTTTGAAGAAGTTCATGATGGCTCAGACTAAACGAATGCAATCAAGGAATCAGTTGATCAACTTTCTCTGAAAAAAGATATTTCGGCACTACAACACACTGTCTCCAAAGATAAATCAGCTAAGAGGGATAAATCTGCTAGCCTCCCTTTTACAGATATTGATGAGAATGTTGCTCATTCTACTAGAGTTTCAGCAGAGATTTATGATTCTTCTTAATGGACATTTTCGAAGCTTGTGTCAGAGACTCACTACAGAGTATGTGCTGCTAAAGTTGCCTCTCCCTACCCTGATGAAGAGTTACCTATGGGTTTTAAATTGGATAGTCTGAGACATGATGTTAGATGACATGCTGCATAAGCCACCAAGAGGAAGCCCTCAGCCACCTGTGTTCATGCAGATCTCTCATCTGATGACAGCTTGGGTAATTATCACGCTTGTGAAGCATCCCATTACTCAGATCATGGATTGTGCTCTCACCACTTACCTGTCTGAAACTGTTTCATGGTTCAGTTATAAGGATCAGCAGGATTTGTTTAGACCAGATTTCTCATGTGCAGAGATTATTGAGGACTTGTACATCATCATACCTTCTGGTCAACCCCATGCAAACGAAGCCTGTCCAACAATGGTCTGAACATCCGGTACCAGTGGAAAGTCCACCTCAACCTGAGGTTTTCCACACTTCATCCTTGCCGTCTTTTACAGCCAAGATATTACAACACACTGATGCTTTATGAGCCAAAGCAAGGGAATATAAAGCACGTCTACATAAGGCTTCAATTAACCTCCTAGATAGGTAGACCCTCACATCATTACTCCAATGTCATGGATGATTCCACTTTCCAACCACTTTGCAGAGGTAGAGGTAGACATCCCAGAGGCAGAAGTAAAGACTGTAGCTGGCTATTTACCAGAATCCCCTGTTCATCCAAATCCTTTTGAACTTGCTTTGTCAATGGACCTTGATTCAAGACTACCAGACTGCAACACAACTCCAACTCCGGGACCAGTGGGAGGGCGACTCATGTTAGATGACAAAAATTTAAAGTTAGTAACGTTAGACTGGAAGTTGTAAGGACTGGATACCAGCTCCTATTCCATCATTGTCCAGCCCTTGTATTCCAGCCAGTAAGCCGACAATTCCATTTCGAAGGGCACAAGTTGGCGGCCATGAACTTGTCCATAGGGAAAATACCTGACAAAGGAGCCATACAAGCACTGGAAGAATCAGAAAACACCATAGGATTCTACTCCCCAGATTTCCTGGTTCTGAAGAAAGAGAGATTATCTGCTCAACAGAGATAATTTGCTGCATCCGCCCAAGTTTCAAACGGAACTCAGAACATCACCCAGGTTACAAGATTGGGCCAAAAGTCTGGATTTACACAAACCTGCATACAGTGAAGTCTGGTTAATTCGACACTCGTTCATCCGACAATCGGCTTCATCCGACACTAATGATTGGAACCGATTAAATCAGTGCTATTTATACCTGTTAATCCGATAGTCTCGCACTCTGACTCCGATGGACCACATTTGCAACAAATTACTGGAATCACTCATTTATGAGTCTCGTTAATCTGACACAGTGATCAGCATACTCTGCGGTCATCTGGCTGTGAAAAAAAAAAAAATTCTTGCCGTTTCAACAAATTCCAGCAAAATGTACGAACGTTTGGGAATCAAATAAGTTTTATTTAAGAACTTCAAGAAATGATTGAGATTTATCTACAAAAATTTCCTATTCGGGGTAATTCGGGATATTCAGGGTTGTAGTGAAAGGGGGGCATTACCTGGGGTTTCTAGTACATACATCCAACCAAATCTGAATTGACACCTGTACAGGAGAGCACTTACATAGTAGCCAGATGTTTGCTTCACAGACGCAAGGCAAGAGGCCTAATTTCGGAATCTCTAAAACTACCCAACAGATCTTGCAGGTGGTGTATGTCATCATGGTCATCACATCGCTTCAGGACCAATAGAGGCAGGCTCCAATTATGTTCACTACAGGACTGGATAAACACCACAAGTTCTCTCAACTTAGAATCTATGATTCAAACTCCAACAACAGAACTATTATAATTGAATTGGTGGCTCATGATACCTCCTCCAGATCATCATCTTTTCACAGATGCATTTTAGCATTGGATGGGTGCACACATGGATAGTGCAACAGCCCAGCAGGGAGATTGGTCAGAGGAAGACAAGATGCTTCATATGAATTGTCAGGAAATGAAGACCATTGACCTGGCACGCAGGACATGGAGTCAAAGACTACTTCAGTCTTCAGTGTTAGTAGCATAGACATCACTTCTGTAGTAGAGTACATCAAGAGGCAGGGTGGTAATAAGATCAGAGAATTTAATGAAGAAGGTTTCATATTTGTTCAGATTGGGAGTCTCAGTCAACTGCAGAGAGGAACCTTGCCACATCCTGGGAAAATTCAACATCCTGGCAGATTGTCTTTCATGGAGAAACAAGTAATTCCGACAAAATGATCTCTTCGATATGTTCAGTGTTCAGATGGATCGTCACGATATGGCTGAAATATTGCCGATGTGACGTAAAGCATTAACTCACTCACTCACTGTTCAGATGGATTATGATGAATAGGACACTCCTCATCTTGATCATTTTAACACCTGCCTGAATCACAAACCTGGCTTGGCCAAGCAGGTCTTGGTACCCAAGATATATATATTCTGCCTTCATTGGGATGGTTGATAGCTGGAAGTGAAGAGGAACATCTGTTCACAATATTCAGATACTATAGTGGCTAATGTCTACGATGTAATAGAGGTAGTATTCCTAGAATTATAACTAATGTTTGATTTCTCTATCATTATGACAGTTTACGTTGATTAAAGATATATGTAGCCACCGAGTGTCTTGAAATTTTTGGTTCTTTTAGTATGTTATTCCATGTATACTGCCGCAAGAAGCACGAATACCATACATTTTGTTTGATATATGAAGAATTACTCATATTCAAGAGTTATTAGATTGGTTTGATGCACAAACGAACATACTGTCATGTTGCATGAATCAATGTTCATGAACGCATCACATGCGACATTGTAGATCCATGACTAAAGATGCACCATTTGTCTCGTGCAGGATTAGCATGTAAATTTTGGAAATCATGTGCAGCAAATCGTGATAAGAATAAAGACATGCTGTGGTAACAACAGACCAATTGTTAGTTTGGTACACATTGGAAACATCTCTTCTTAATGTACATACTTTTCTATGGTTTCAATTGTTTTTCTCGAGTTTATGACAGATGTTAAAAATTTCATACCTGATATTCCTCCTATATACCTCTTGGGATTTTTTCTGATGTGTGATTGGATGACATTGAAGGTCAAGATCACTCAGTATGAAGGTGACAAAAAAGGTTGTGTAAATGCTGCACCTGGTACATCAGACTGGTTGTGAACCATGACACATCAGACTGGTTGTGAACCATGATACATCAGACTGGTTGTGAACCATGATACATCAGACTGGTTGTGAACCATGATACACCAGACTGGTTGTGAACCATGATACATCAGACTGGTTGTGAACCATGATACATCAGACTGGTTGTGAACCATGATACATCAGACTGGTTATGAACCATGATACATCAGACTGGTTGTGAACCATGATACATCAGACTGGTTGTGAACCATGACACATCAGACTGGTTGTGAACCATGACACATCAGACTGGTTGTGAACCATGATACATCAGACTGGTTGTGAACCATGACACATCAGACTGGTTGTGAACCATGACACATCAGACTGGTTGTGAACCATGATACACCAGACTGGTTGTGAACCATGATACATCAGACTGGTTGTGAACCATGATACATCAGACTGGTTATGAACGATGATACATCAGACTGGTTGTGAACCATGATACATCAGACTGGTTGTGAACCATGATACATCAGACTGGTTATGAACGATGATACATCAGACTGGTTATGAACCATGATACATCAGACTGGTTGTGAACCATGATACATCAGACTGGTTGTGAACCATGATACATCAGACTGGTTGTGAACCATGACACATCAGACTGGTTGTGAACCATGATACTATACTTGATTTTGAAGTATTACAGTGAAACAGGAAGTCTTTGTGTGTATTCCTATGAATTATTTGCCTAATTTATTTTTAACCTTTTTTCAGTATAGTTCAGCTGTTGCTAGATCATGGTGCAGACATCCATCTTAAGACTGATGCAGGCAAAACATGGTAAGTGTAACAACATTTTGTAACATTGAAGTAAAAACAGACACATATAGGATATTGCTCCAGCTTCAATTTAATATCTGGTCACATGTCAGTCCACTCTATTTAGGGACAGAAAACAAGGTCAGTGTTAGTTGACCAACCCGAATTGGTTGTCATTGATTGGGAGGTTTTTTTAGTTTATAGGGTTTCTGCACTACAGGTAAACAAAATGGTTATATTTAGTTGGCAAGTTGGAATGCTGTATTAATGTTTTTACGATGTAGTTACTCCAATCACAAGTGAGAAAATGCTAATTTAACTCTATAATTTGATTGTAATCTGGTATTAATTTTATTCTATGAACTAGTACCCCGTCTAAGGATACTGGACAACATAACTGCATATACACTGTATTCGGGAGGAATAGTGGTTTTGAAAAAATATTCACTGGTAAGATATTATTGATGTTAAATACGGAGAAAATGCTATCACTATTCTGTTTGATAAAAGTATGTTTGGTTTTGATAGAGATACATTATGTGTGTTTACATATATCCAACCGGAGAGATCGACCTGGTATGATAACAGAGATAGACAAAATGGGGTAGAGATTTTACTGTATTTTTTATTGAGTATAATTCTTGTGAATACCCTACCTCTATTACATCATTGCCATAAATTCCTGTTTATGGTGAGAACCACACTACAAATTTTTATAAATTTTCAACAGATGTCCTCTTCACTGCCAACATATCTAATAGTTGTGAGGGAAACCCTATCCCTTGCCAGGTGAGCCACCGCGCATGCGCAAGGCGGGAATCTCCTCACTTCTTTCCTGTGTGTCCAGATGACAACAAGGAAAATCTTTTGTTGCATACATCTGTACACGTAATTGCTGTTCCACACTTACAACACTAGATCATCTCAAGAGTGTATAAGAAGTCAGAAGTCGCTTGTAAGTAATTAGTTAGAAAAGTGTTTTGGGATGAGTACTTCATCCCAAAAACAGACACCCGTCTGTTCAGCTTGTGGGCAACATCAAATCACTGGTCACCCTCACCCTACGTGCATATCGTGCAAAAGGGAACCGATGTACCTTTCGGGTTTTAACGTAACCAGTCACGTACATCCGGAAGCTCAATGACCCTGATTATAAAAAACACTAGAGCGTCAGCAAAATATTCATCTGCTTCATGTAAGAAAGTGATTAAGTCCGTTGTGACTACTAAAGATAATCACGTGGGTAAAAAGCGAGTGTCGTGCGAGGACGCTGTCTCGCCTTATGAGGAGAAGAGATCTCGTCGCTCATCCCACTCTCCCAATATAGTTAAGGAGCCGATGTACCTTTCAGACTTCAATGTAGCCTGTCATGTGCATCTGGCAGCGACTGGTAAGGTGGATCATCTAGGCTTGGAAGAAGCAACTGATCTCCACTCTATGCAACGCTCCCCCTTTAACTTAAATGAGTTCAGAGAAAACAATGTTTGTAATGATTGATAAACGCATGCAATCAATGTCTAATGAAGTCACATATCTAAAAAGGATCCGTCGCACAACCCCGGCATGGCCAAAAAGGGATTGATCACGAGATTCAAAAGAGATCTAAGGCTGAATATGGCAGAACACCCTCATACAGCAGACATGCACAAGGTCACGCTGAATCAGATTATTATGAGGACAGTAGGAGAGTCATAAAAAGAGATCGAGAATCTCATAGATTACCTCCCTACCACGCACACCATAGGGTAAATCGTGAATCACGGGCATCGCATCGCAGTATGCACAGAAATACACACCAGTCACCCTCTAGCCACTATGATAGACGAACGGACAAAGCTGGTGCAAATCAGGATAGAATTCCTAAGCATGCGCCATCTCATACTGCCACACAGTCCAGTTATATGGGCGGAGAAAGCGAGGGAGATGTTACGTCACAATCATACAGTTATAGAACATGTGATTCCCACACTGCTAGCCGTAGATCAGACGATCAGGATTACGCTACCCTAAGCCATATGACCCACTCCCAGCGCAGCCTGAGTAGGGGGTGCGGATCTATAGCTAACACTGGTTCTTCATGCAATGGGGACTCTACTACGGAGGATAATTATAGACAAAATAATTATTCCATTAAAGATATCATTGCAGAACTTTATAATCTAATGCCCGCCTTAATACCAGAAAGCAAGGACAAAACGCTCGTTAAACCCTTGTTAGAACGTGCTGGGTATGAAAAACCTGTCAGTAAGACTGAAGAATTCCATACCCTCCCCTGTCCGTCATATATTGATGACGTCATCAAGAAAATTGAAGATTCATGATGAAGAATTCTATGATCTGGTTAAGGAACCTAACACCAAAATGCATGTTGACATTGCCAAAATCAGGAACTTAGGTTACATCAACAAACAGATGATTAATATCAGTTCATACATTAACTGGATTGCAGCTGGAGTTCGCCACATCATACCACCAAACAACCAGAGCGAGGACTACCCTTAGACACCCCCACGGATATGACACTACAGCAGACCGGATTCATTCACAGCTCACTGGACCACATACTGAAGATGCAGGAAGATCTTCAATCAGCACAAGTTTGGATGTCAGCACAGTTCCTGCTCATGCAAAGAAAACATTTACTACAGCAAGTTCATCATATGATCCCAGAGCCATTAAGAAGATCCATGCTATCACAGCCTATCACAGCGTCGCAGATATTCAACGGAAGACTGAAGTCAGTGAAGGAAGCCATTGCATCGTCAACTAGCCAGAAGTTTCAAGAATCTACCATCTCGTTGGCATCCAGGATACAGAGACGGCCGGCAGATATTCAGCATCAACAACAGAATCCTAGATCTCGTCATGTGAATCCTGGCCGGGATTCTTTTCGAGCCTCTACATGGAAGAACAGATCATTTCAACCCAAGTACAGGAACTCCAAAGATGATCATCCCACTTCGCAGAGAGGACGAAGCAGAGGCAAAGGCAGTCTCCGAAGGGGATACCGCCGGAAATGACTCAACCAGAAATCTACAGACCCCTTCAGATCCTACCAACATCACCTGCCCAATGGACAACGATTTAGAACTATAGAAGATCAAAGATACAACCACATCGAATCCATTGGAACTAGCCAGTCTCACAGACCTCGACCCAAGTTCAGCATTCATCCGACCACGGGACCAGTCGAAGGTCGTCTTATGCAGTACGCAGACAACTGGAAGACCATCACAGAGGACTCATGGTTGCTCAAAGTAGTAAGAAAAGGATACAAACTTCACTTCTCAAAACGACCAAGACTAGTCATCCACCCTACCGGACCCCGATTCCAGCTATCAGGACCGAAGTTAATTGCAGCAGAAGTGGCCATTACAAAAACTACTTGCAAAAGGAGCTATCAGCATCTTAAGGATCGAGTCAGACACCACTCACAGATTCTACTCCCCAGTATTCCTGGTACCGAAGAAGAATTCTTCAGAGATGCGATTAATCATAGACCTAAAAGTCCTGAACAAAGATTATCTGGAAAAAACACCCAGTTTTCAGATGGAATCTATCAAGAAGTTGAAGAATGCCTTAAGACAAGCAGATTGGATGATAAGCATAGGCCTCCAAGAAGCCTATCTTCACATCCCTATCGATCCAAGTCATTGTCGGTATCTACGCTTTGCAGTCAACGGTCAGAGATAATAGTTCAGGGTACTCCCATTCGGCATATCCATCGCCCCATGGTTATTCACCAGGGTCACCAATCCCATCATCGGATTCGCCCATATAAAGCTCATAAGGCTACACGGATACATAGACGATTTCCTATCGGCCGATCAGGACAAATCGCAAATCAGATTAAATACAACGTGCCTCATCCAACTACTAACACACTTAGGATTCCTGGTTCACCCCCTTAAAAATCAGAGCTAGTACCCACACAGGACATCACCTACATAGGCGCAAGATTTCTACTCAACAAGGGCATAGTAGCACCTCCAAAGGACAGATATGCAAGAGTAGAACACATGATAACAAGCGCACTCGATCAGCCCATCAAATCGAGACGCTGGTGGATGTCTTGCCTAGGCACGCTCACATCTATCCAAGACCTAACCTACAGAGGCAGACTACAATTATGGCCCCTGCAGGATTGGATTAATACCACCAAAAACCTAGAGCTGGAAGCCTTAATCCAACCTCCACAAGTTCGAATCTCAGAACTTCACTCGTCAAAATGTCATGCCAGGTATTCCACTCGCATACCCCACCCCCCTACATCAACTCTACACAGATGCATCAGGAGAGGGTTGGGGTGCATATATGGACGATGTTACCATACAGGGAAAATGCTCCTCCCAAGAAAAGGAGTTACCCATCAATTGTCTAGAAATGAGAGAGATATATCTAGCCTTAGAAGCATGGCAAGATCGTCTACACCACTCGTCAGTGAAGATCTCTACAGACAACTGGACCGTGGTCGCTTACATACAGCACCAAGGGGGCACAAAGTCTCAGCCTTTATTGAAGGAGGTTACACATTTATTTGCCTTGGTAGACTCAGTGAGTTGCAGAATCGAAGCAAGACATATACCAGGCAAGCTAAATATCCTATCATTGTGAATAATTCTAAGAATACTACCTCTATTACATCAGGAATTAATCCCTCCCACCTCCCCAAATATCTGCATCTATTTGATGAGGAAAATGGGTTGAAAGAAGTGAGGAGATTCCCCCCTTGCGCATGCGCAGTGGCGCCCCTGGCAAGGGATAGGGTTTCTAGCAGATTACCTATCCCCTATGGGATACTCCAAACCTAGATCTATTCGCCACATGTCTCAACAACAAACTACAAGTCTACGTCAGCCCTGTACCAGACCCGCTAGCTCTCCAGGTCGACGCTTTCTCTATGGAATGGGAGGGAATGTTTGCATACGTCTTTCCCCCATGGGCTCTCCTATACAGAGTACTGAAGAAAATAGAAGAGACGGATGTGTCATAATCCTCATAGCCCCGGCATGGGCAAACAG